GAACTACTCTTTTCCCTATGCAGACATTAACCAATCCAGGAAAATAGAGACACTGTGGAGCTGACGTTTCCAGAGTGGGAGTTCCAGTGCCAAATCAGTAGTACCTGCCCAAGAAAGAGTTCAGATTTTCCATGATGATGGGAAGTCCTAAGCTGAAGCCATAAGAGCAGCAGCAGCTGCACTTTGCAGCCTTGCTGGAGCCCCACTCCTATTTTGCAGGTTGTTTTCTTCCCCTAATCTGCTGCTCTTTCTCAAAAAACAACTTTTCCCCTGCGTGCCCCTATCCCCAGTAAGACCCGATGCCCCTCAGATGGTTGCCTTCTTTCTGCTGTACCCTGCACCGTGCTTCATGGGAAACACTGAGGTATGGAGAGGGCTCAGCGTAGCCCAGAATAACTTTCAAGTCACCTTCAGGGTGAAGTTCATCTCTCCCAACCTGAGAAACAGGTCATTCCTAACGCTGCTCAGGTGAATCACTGTCTGCACTGTGTTTATACCGGAGCCTGGGGAGGTCTGTAGCACACTGTAGACGTTTTGCCAGTCTAAGTCTGGCGAAGGGAGATGTCCGCAAGGAAAACACATCCTCCACACAGGCTCAGCTTGTAGGTGCCTCATCACCCCAGCACAGCAGAGGTGACTGCACTCCATCGACACAGGAGTTTCCTTTTCTAGTACCAGCCACTGTGGGGCTTCACTGGTGGAAGAGCACCAGCAAAGCCTGTGCTGTAGGCAGGACCCCGCTGTGTGCTGGTGGGAGAGCGTGGGGTTTGATCTGACCTCAGAAGCATCCTCCCCAGTTGCTTTTCAGTTTGTCCTGGCTCAGTGCAGAATAGTATCATTTTCTGGTGCTGGAGCCCTGTGGAACAGGGAAATGCTTTCCCTGAGATGAAAACCCTGCGTGGTACCAGCCCAGCCTCACCGACCCATCGCTCTCCAGCTCTTATCTAAGAGATCCCGTGGAATGACAAATCTTGGACCCACAGATCCAATTACATTTCCGGAGACGTTTGTTTTTCCTTAAGCTTGCACATAGGACAATGCCTAACCCACACGAAAGAACAAGAAAAATCTTCCTTGGATCCTTGCCCAGGCCAAACAGAGCCTCTTCAAGGCCCCTAACCAACCTTGCATAGGTTGGTGCTTTCTCCCTCTCCCAGTACATACGTCTGTGTGAGCAAGTGTGCTCATGCTGCAGCAGTGCTCAAAAGAGGGGGAAGAAGCATCAGTATTTCTGAGCCTCAAGCAGTTGTGTGTTAGCTCACATTTTTAAAGCCAGGTCTCCTATGGGCTGCACTGGCCCACGCTGCATACCGATGAGAGAGCCTCTGACCATGGGGCAGGCTGTAAACCAGAAAATGAGAACTGGAGGCAACAGCAACTGTGGGATCATAAAAATACCTGCGAGGTATCAGAAGCGTGAGGGGGGAAATCAAGGGAAGGGAAGGGAGAGGTAAGGAAATGAGTGTTTCAGGGCAGTGTCCTCCGATCCTGGCTTCAGAAGGGAAACAAACCCCAAAGATTCCTTGGTTAAGCTGTGAAATGTGTGACCCATGGGGACAGTGTCCCCTGGCCTGGCTGGTGGCTGCTGATGGGGAGCTGCGATACCAACAGCCTTCATGCTGCTGCTGTTCTCCCAGGTTCTGGGGCTCTTTGAAGCCAGGGACACTCAGGACAGGCTGAGCTTCCTGCAACACAAGCCCATGTGCTGTAAGTGCTGTATGGGATTTGGAGTTCATCCCCATGGCCACACACTTTCAAGTACCTTTGTAGGAGTTAGCGAGCACTGCCGGGAGGTTGTAATTGCTCATTTTCAAGCTGTTGGTGGGGGAAAGGCGATGTCACCTACACTGATACTGGAAGGTTGTTGCTTTGTGTCTGCTTCAGTTTGTCAGGTGGTTTTTCCAGCCATCACTGACACAAGCAACCGAGCCCATAACGGCCTCAAGGGCAGCCCATGGGCTGTGCAGTGCAGAGGGCAGAGGCACCTGCACCTGAGCACCGGGCCTCCTCTCCTGAGGATGGCTGGAGCACCAGCATCATCTCAGATCAGGGCTGGGAGGGAGCCTGCGTGTACTTGCCAATGGCAAATGCAGCTCAGCCTTTAATGCTTTGCTAAGGGTCTGCTTCGAAAGCTTTTCACCCAGCTTGCTCAGGGCTCTTTCCATTCCAGCCTGAAAAATCTTCCCTGGCATCAGGAGCTCAGAGAGATAAAAGAGGAGGAACTTCAGCCCTCAAATAGCCATTGCTGAGGGCTGTCCTGGAGACAAGAGGTAAAATCCAGGGACAGATGGTCAACGGACTGATTGCAGAACACTTGATGTGGCAGGGGCTCTCGAGCTAGTTGTCTGTCTTCTTGCTCTCTGAAAAGCCTTTCACACTAGTGGATCAGGCTTCTGAGGAGAGGGTTACAGTTCTGTGTCAGGGCTGGGAAGCTCTTTCAGAGACACATCTTCAAACCATGTGTTTCTGTTTAAAATTGGACTAGATGCTGGGAATGGTTTCCCCTGGCTTCACAGTCTATTGCACTTATTTGCACCACACAGCCAGAAAGAGCCTTTCCAGATACTGTGTTATCACTTCAGCACCTTCTTGAAATAGCCTCGGTAAGTCCCAGATCACATAAAGGCCAAGCTCATCAAGGTTAAAGGAGGCTTTATCACTCCCTGCTTCAAACTTTGCAGGCCCAGCAAGAAGCATGAGGCAGGTTAGGATTAGGCTCACCTTGCTGCAGACGGAGTGTTTCCCATTTCTGATCACAAATCTCATCTCCCAGCTCTTGTCACTCCTGGCTCAGCGTGTGGTTCATACCGAGGGGTTGAGAGTTAATCACTTGGAAAAGACTGATTCAATGACATTCAGCCAAAGCTGGCAGGGGGTGAAGTGTTGAAAACACAAGGGCAGGACCACACCTGCACTCGCTCCAAGGAAAACGAGCAGATCAGCTTGCAGCCATCAGCCCCGATCTGCTGATCATGGACCAGAGAGGGGATGACAAGGGGGATCATATTGCCAGGCAGGACACTGGGGCGTGAGGATGCACAAAGGACCTCCAGGGTTGGAGAGTCTGTTCCCTGCTCTCGGAGGAGTCGAGTCACAGCCTCTTGCTGGGTATCACGGAGACACCAGCTGCATCCCAAAATCCCAGTGAAACACTGGGTGAGCGCCCTCAAAGCTCTGCTCGGAGCCAGCCCGGAGCCGCTGTCACGCAGCTGGGGGGGTTGCAGGCACCTGGAGCCCCCATGAGCCAGATGAAACCCAAAGGTCTCCTCACCTCTGAGGAAGCAGCACCTCTCATCTGCTGCTGCTGCGGCCGGTAAGAAATAAAGAGATGTCATCCCGAGCTCAGCGGCGTCGCACCTCCTTCTGCAATCTGGTCAACAAGACAAGGGAACATTTGTAACTGGAAAGGTCTGCTCCAGCCTGCGCTGGCTCTGCCTCAGCCCAGCCCCAAGAGACCACGCTCTCCTTCTGAGCACGTAAAAAGCAGAACTGGGAAGGCACGGAGCGTCAAGGGCAGGGGAGGCACAACCAGCGCCACGTTTCTCCTGTCATGGTTGTAAAATGCCTTCTGCGCTTGTACCTGCCTGAAGTCCTTAAATAACTTCACCAGCAGCTTTTCCCATCACATTCCACAGGTGTGAGTCAGGTCAGCTCAATATATACATGGAAGACCCCGAAGGAACAAGTGACCCAGATACTGACAGTCTTCCCCCAGAATTTAGCCTTGACTCACACACCAGCCATCCGCTGGATCACGGTGTTTCAACCACCATGAAGAAACAAGGTCCACCCTCTTGTCACCCTTAACAGCAAAGATCTTGCCCTCCCAGCGCTGACTGCTGCCACATACAGCAAATCACGCTTTGCTGATTAGCTCTGACCCACTGCCCATCCCCAGACCACTTATGGGTGCATCCAAGCCTCAAACAAAAACACTGAGGATCAAATCGGGCCCAGTTAAAGAAGCAGATCCCAAGCAGAGCAGCACAGACCCATCTCCCTGCCCCCAGACTGCATGACAAATGCTCCCACATACCTGGGGCTGTGGCTTCTGGGATTTACTTCATTACCTGAGAGGCAAGAGGTGCGTTCAGGTGAGTCAGAAGCTCCACCTATGGATTAGGGAAACCTCCTTGCTAAACCTGGTAGGAAACAGTGGGAGAGGTGAGACAGGGAGCGACAGCTTTGACTGCTGCCTGCTACAAAGGTCAGTGCCAGCATTCCTGTAGGATCTTGTGTGCTCAACAGAAAGCAAATCTCTGCCTCCAGCTCGAGCCATGGCTGTAAGGAAGCTACACGAGGGTGAACTGGGTTGTGTCTGGCTCACGCATCACCCACGCAATTACAGGTTCCTGTTACAGACTCTATTAAAAGGTGATTTCGCGGGAGCCACAGAGGTGATTTTCAGCCGTGAGCCGGATCTGCAGGTCCCACAGATCCTTTGCATCACTCTCAGCCTCTCACCACCCACATTCTCTCACTCTGACTCTTTTTAACTCGCCTCTGAAACCAAATGGATCCGGAAGCCACTGACAGACGCTGCACCCCGCTCCTGTGGCAGCGTCTGCCTGGCATCGCCCCAGTGACAGCTGTACCCAGAACCTGCGGGGTCTCTCCTTGAGGCCCCTCTCTGGAGCTCCCTGGCCCATCCTCACAAACAACTCAAGCCAGCCAAGGAACTCTGACACATTCCCTGGGCTTTCAGCGTTTCTGCTTTGGACTGGCCTCAGTGAACCACAGCCGCTTGTCCGCACCTCAGCTCTTGTGCTCCAGAGGGTAAGGGATAAGTGATGTTTGAGACATGTGAAGATTGCTGCATTCCTCTGTCATTGCCATGCTCTGCCCTGCAAACAGGTCCCTGAATCGCAGCCACCTCTGGGGGAAAAGGCAGGAAATGATTACCCAGGAACGCACCACACGGCAGTGGGAATTAGAGGACACAAAAGCAAATCTCTGCTATTAGTGAACACGATAAGATCTGATAGATACATACAGGGATCTTGTTACTACGTACAAGTACATTTATTAAGCTTTTGTTCTTAACCTGAGCTTTCCAAGAGAGCCTCTAAACACGGTTTACTATCATAATTTCACTTACAACATGATAATACCTGAGCTTAAAGGAGGGCTTCTGCTTTTTTATGTAGAACATCTTTCTGGCTGGGCACTTTCAACCTATTGATCCAGCTGATGCATATGATTCCTATAACTCGGAGGGGAAATAAATAGTCTTTATTTCTTCCAGCATATTTGTCTCTTCCATTGGACAGCTCTGAATCGGTCAGGCTTTCCTCATAGTTAATGTGAAGGAATTCCTCCAGAGTGGAAAGCTCCAACTGCTTCGGAGCCCAAAGTCACTGAGGAGGCTCAGATGTAGGGGTGGTGGCTGGAAAACAGGCGGCACCTTCCCACTGGAATGTCGAGCAGCCACGGAAGGTTTCTGGGATGACAAATGGGAACTTGGAAAGAAAACACAACTAGAAGTGACTCCAGCTTGTAAATGCAACAAGCACGTTCCTGGTGCTGCAGGCTCAGCACCTTGTCTCCTACCTGCCCCAGTGCAAGAATTCCCATCAGCTGAATGCTCCACCTTCACCCAGGACGACCAAAGCACCCACCTAGATGAGAAAGACTCATGAAGTAAGGAGTCCCAGAGCAAACCTGAAACCCAGCCTCCAGGTATCAGGCTTAAATCCTTCTGGAGGATTTCTCCATTAATGGAGAAAGCGCTGTGTGTACACAGCACTATAATAAATAAGTTACAAAGCACACTGTATAAATAAGCACGATATATAAATAATAAGCACGACAATAAATAAGTTACAAAGCCCCTATTAGAGGCCTGCACCTCTGGGACTACAAGGCAAAGGCAGGTGATGTGACTCTGGCGGGGAAGTGATCAGCTGTAATAATTTAGATGTTCCTGTTGCTATGGAGACTTCCTTTTTTTTTTAGTGAAGCATACCACTATAATTTAAATTTCCAGGAACAAAAAAAGGAAACGTATTAAAAGTCATAAAAAATGCCAGAGCCAGAACTGGTTTATTCTTCCCTGACAGTTTTCCTTGTGCTGTGACAGTGGATAGAAGTGATCAAATTGTCACGCCTGAGGAGATTTAGTACTTTTACACATTTTATTACATTCATTAGACCTGGGGCTTGTGCGTACGAGCTTGTGATCCAGGCAATAGCCGAGTGACAGGCCTTGTGCTGGGACGTCGCATGAAAATCCATGCTGCCAAGCAGGGAAAGGGAGGAGGGTTGTAGCTAAAACAAGACCCAAGAAGCAGCAAGTCTGGGGGCTGTTGTGGCAGGATTCAGGTAGGGTGATGGAAGCACAAAGGCACAAGCCAAATAGCTCCCTGCAAAGGATCATCATCAAGGCTTTTAAGCAATACCTGTGCCTGCAGTGGTGTTACCATCTGTGGGACTCTCAGCAGCCGGGACAGAACCTGCTGCTGAGGTTGCTGTCAGAGCGGGAGGAAACGCGCGTGGAGGACGGAGGCTTTGCTGGGTGAGAAACTGCTGATGGTTGAGGCTGAAGAGGTGCAAAGCAAACCCCAATGGAGGCAGAAAGTGAGTGAGCTGGAGCAGAGCTCGCAGAGTGGCTGGTTGGAAAGGAGGGGAAGGAGAACCCGCTGGGCATCACCCCATGTGCCCAGAGAGATGATGGCTCAGGGCTGTCCCAGGCGCGGGTTTGCTTCTGCTGCCTGAAACGGAACCAGAGCAAACGAGGTGTCTGGGTGATAAATGGAAAGACAAGGAAGGCAGCGGGGGTTTTGTACCTAAATACTGGTTTTCTCACATCATGGGTCAAAAACCACATCAGGGAAGAGAAGGCAGCAGAATTATCCTCTCCTAGGGCCGCCTGGAGCGGATGGCTGTTTTATTTCAGCTGTGACCAGTGATGTTCTTGCCCTGTTACCTCGGCCAGGAGAGGATTCCTGGCCTTACTCTGTGGGCTTTAAAGCCAAGCTTTTAAAATTCATATTCCCCCCCCCCCGCTTATCTTATCCAAGCTGCAAGTAGCAGCTGGGTGAGTGATAAATCACAGGAGTCAGCGGGGATTTTAGAGCCAAGACCTGATGGGGTTGACGTTTCACAACCTGCCTCTCCTTATATTTTCTCTGCAGGGAAAGGAGCGACCCCACAGCCCTGACGTGGGAGCAGTGACGCTGGTGACAACCATACCTCACTCCTGGAAGGAAAAGCGACGAGGAGAGCTGAGAGGTGGCACAGCCCCTGCCTGCGAGCGCAGCCGGCACCGCTTTCCCTGGCGCTCCCACGCTGGGTTTGCTGGCACAACCCTGCTCCTGCAACAGCTTCCAGGGAGCCCCCCCAGGCGCACGGCGGGGAACAGGCGATGAGCTCTCCGTTGCAAACACACATCCCTGCTGGCAGCCGAGCCCAGCAGCCTTCCAGCAGGTCAATGCCCCAGGAGATGCTCGGTGCTGCCAAAGCCGAGCGGTGCCAGGCGGGCGCTGGGCGCGATGGAGAGCCCCGGCTGCGGGCCGGCGGCGTGTGGCCCCATGGCAGAGGCCTCATCCGCTCCCCGGGCAGAGCAGAGGGTCCCTTTGGCTCTGCTGGCTCAGAGCCACCACGCCAGGAGCATCTCCAGAGCTTGGAGTGGGAAGCAATTGCTGCTGACAGGGATCAGAGCCCAGAGGAGAAGGGACCGAGCGTGTGTCCAGTGAGAGAGGCTGGTGGCAGGAGCTGAACCAGCACTTGGTCAGGAATCACCTTCTAACTGTGCATTCACTGTGCAACTGCCTCCCGTCTCCCTGTGCTTCCTACATCTGCTTTCTGGCTCCAGCTCTCTTGGCCCCATTTCCACTCCCATCTCAGAAGACTTCTCTTCCTGCAGCTTTTAATGACTTGACATCCCTTCTTTTTGTAAAGCCAGTATTTCTTCGCTCAGCCGAGAACCATCTGGAGGCTGTTTGTTCTGTGCAGGGAAGAGAAGAAACAACCAGCCCCCAGCAACCCACAACACTTTCCCATTGTCCTTCCCCTGGGCATTAGAGGAGAGGTGCTAAATAAATGAAGTAATGCAATATTAAGACTCCCTCTGTCATAAGCAGTGTCTGCTCACTCCTGATAGATTGCTTGCAGTCAGCTGCTGCTTTGCTGCATGAAGAACCTCTGAGCCACAGGCTGCAGCAGGGCCCCGCTCGCTCGCTTTGTGCTGGGACACTTCAGCTTCTGGCCCCATGGCTGCTGCTGTGGGCTCCCGGGTCCTCCCGTGCTGCGGATGGAGAAAGCTCCTGGGTTCTCCCCAGCCCTCGTTGCATCTCACTTGGCTCCAGGTGACCAACGGGGCTTGTGCTGCAGGGGCACAACCTGGGCACTGTCAATCCCAAGTTACCGACCTGATGAACTGAGGCTCTAGAGGTCTCAGTTAAGGGGACCAGAGCATCAGCAGGATTTCCTCTGAAGGGACAGGCATAAAGAAGTTACCTGCGACAAGTGCGTGGAATTTCTGGCACTGAAATGACAGCATTTTCTCAATATACTTCCATGCACAGAAGGGCTTTGGCAGAACAACCCTGCACCCCTCGTTGTCTGTGTGGACTGAGGGCAACCACGATGGCACGTGGCTCCGCTGCTCCCTGCAACGGAAGCTGTGACAAAAGCCATTTGCTAATGCTGCATCCATCCCTGCTCTGCTCTCCTGCTGCACCATCATCTCCTGCTATTAAGTGCTGTAAACCCTGGAAGAAGATGGACAGCAAAGGCAGTGACACACTTGCAAAACACCCCATTGGCACTGGCTGCTGATCCAGAGCAAGCCCCTGCCCTGGGTGCCAGCAAGGCCAGCACAAGGCTTTTCAGTCTTTGCCTGGCGTTTGTTCTGGTTCAACCCCTTGGCTTCCACAGGGATGAGTCTCACTGGGCTCTGGCAGCTGGCTGTTGGCGTCACGCAGCGCTGACACGTTCAGCCTCCATCCCCACCCGGTCCCCGCTCCATCCCCGGCCAAAATGCATTTGTGCTTGTCCACAAGGACAGTTATTGCTTCTTGCTTCAGAGCACAAGGAAGCCTCGCAGAGCTGCTCACAGCCCCCAGCACCCTGGGGCTGGCTATGAAAAACAACAGCATTCAGGTGTTCAGATGAAATGTTGCTCTACTTGTGCTTTAAACAAGAGCAATCTGGGTAACAACAGCTCTTGCTCAAGCTTGGCACACATTTGCAAAGGCTCTTGGTGCCCCAAGGAGAGAGAAGCTGAGAGGCTGGTACCTGCTGCGGCGCACAGCACCGTCCCCGACAGCCGGTGCGTGAGCTCAGAGCTGGATTTGACCTGAGCATCACTGAAGAGCAAGCCTTGAACAGAGAGGAAAGAGCAACACTTGATGCACTTCACATGTAAACCCAGCCTGGGTTTGGCAGCAAGAAGCCGCTGAGGGTTGGTTGTTGCAGTTTTGGGGATGCATTAAATGAGCAACTCAGAACCTCTATCAATTATGAGATTTGGGGTTTTGATGTTACCAGCATTGTGTTAATCTGCAGACAAGCCTGAAGCACCAACCTCCCTTTTCTCATCCAGTCACACCCTTACCTGGAGGCCAACCCAGTGATGCAGGCAGGCGGCTGCTGTGCATCCCTCTGTGCATCCAGCGTGGCCACATCCAGATCCACAAGCATTTCCTGGAGGCAGCACTGTGGCCTAGTGTCCAGCTGCAGTCATCTTCCCACCAGGATGGCCCTGGCACAGCTTTCCCACAGCCAGAAACCTCCCGTGGATGTTCCCATTGCTTACTGGTATGCATCAAGGAAGATGGAGGATTCAACCAGTTGGAAATAGAGAGGCTTCTCTATTGCCATGGTAAAAATGAAGTCACCCAGCACAGACACTCCAAAAAATGGTAGAATTTTATTCCCCTCAGTACAGGTATTCTTTAAGGTTTCCTTAAAAAACTATATACGTACATCTGTAGCACTGTGCATTTCAGTATGTGCTCCTAGAGGCTCTAGAAAAGGAGAAAGATCAATGTACAGAGAAATGCTCACAGGCCATTCCCACAGCCCAAGCTCTTCCCTAGGGAGATCACCACTTCTACGTGGCTCTGGCATTGCTGATGCGATAGGTTCATGTCTCCAGAGCATGGACAAAGTGGGAGTAACCCCTGCAATGGCGAGACCGCTGCCCTACACACGACCAGCAAGTCACAGGCACAGGAGCTTCCAGATGAAACTTGCTTTAAACACAATTTTGTGGCGAAAGCACACATTTGATTAAGAGACATGATGAGTCAGCTCCTCGAGTCCTCGATACTTTATCACAATAACACTTGGGGGGGAACAAATTTTAGTCAGAGTCACTCAGCTGTTCCCTAATAAATCCTTACAGCTGACAACGAGGTTTTTCCTTGGGTTTTTTGTCTTCTGCAAGCAGTTTTAAGCAAGTTCTAAAGAGCTATCTGGGGAATGAATTAGTGTTCCAAACCCAAGTTACAAATCTATAAAACAGATTAGTATACTTCACATAAGGCCACAAACACTGCAAACTGTCAGTGCGACTATTTAGGATCATTAAACTTAATCTTTTAATTAGCATAAGCTTTATACCTCCATTACTTAGTTTCAACTCCAGGAGCAGATGAAGACAGCTTCCCGAGCCTGGCGGGAGACACGGATCAGAGGATCAGAGCACCGCTGGAAGGGGCACCTCTTGCCAATTGAACATCCAGGTATTGGCCTTGCCTAATCCAATTCTATTTCAGTCTATTGAGTGAGCAACAACCAAATGGTTCTGAGACAGTAAAAAGGCACGCACAGCCAAATCCACTTAGCAGGGCTAAGAACACAGATCTATTGTGCTACTGGCTTCACCCAACCTGCAACTTCCAACACGCTTCAGCAAAACAAATTGTTGCTCCCCAGTGGTTCTGCTTTTCAAGCCAACAGTGCAATGGAGCCTTAGTGTTTGAGTCACATCAGAAACGGTGCACGTGAGCAGTCAGTTCTGAAACAGATCTGCAGCACTGCTGGGTTGGGGTTTTGGGGGGTTAATAGCTTCTGAAGAGAAGTTACAGGCACTGCTTACCTCGACAGCTCGGACCACTGCTTTCAGTTCAAGTTTTAAAGTGCAAAACTTCATAGAGTCTTTGGGTAAAAAAAGTGTCAATTCCCATCCAAAGCTGGCAAGGAAACAGCCAGAACTCATAAGGGTGATTGACAACTGTGAGAGTATCACAGACATTCATAACAAAAGCAAGATCTCTGCTACCTCTTTGATTTTAACACTGTTAGCAGCTGCTGCAAATCTCCTCCGCTCCGCCTAGGCAGGTGCTGTGTTCCAAAACAGTGGATTAGTAACAGTTGTGCTTGCAATTGCATTTGCATCTGCAGATCTTTGTCTACAAAAGTATCTACAGGGAGACTTTGGTGTTGCATAGTCTTTTTTCAGAGAGGAACAGGCACTGCTGAAGGTTCTTCCATGGCATATTGCCATGTAATACTGTAGATGCTCTACACACCTTCCAATAGTATATGTAAACTGTAACGGTTATGAATAAATATGCTCAAGAGCATCTTGTGGTTTAGATAAAAGCAAAGTACAAAAATCTGCATTAGATTCCTAAAGCTTTGGTCTAAACTGTGCTGTAACATCACCTGACTTGGTGAAAAGCCAAGAAGAGTCCCTTGCATACAGCACCTGGATCAGCATGATTCAGTCCACAGACTTTCAGTGGTTATTCTCTTGTCAGCTCTTAGATGCCTCTGACCTCAAAACATGAACAGATCATCTTTCTCGCCTGTGTTGGAATCTATTTTGTTCCAGTCTACTGGCGAGAGCGTTTCTGCACTCTGGATGTCTTGAGCTGTCAGTCCTGTGTCAAGGACGTGAGGGTTTGTTCTCGACTGAGCCAGTCTAACAGGGGAGAAAAACAAAGTAAGAACACAAATCTGTGCAGTTCATAGCCTGGATGCTTGCTGCATCCATAATGCTGAACCCCAGCTGCAGGTCCACATTTCAAAATCCTCCAGTGGAATGAAATCATTCAGTAAGGGGAGAGCTGGCACATAACATTTGCTGCTGGTTTACCCTAACATTTCCCCTATAGGCACCCAGGGAATTTACAGCCTGGACATCCCAGGTATTAATGGTCTGGCAGAACGGTGCCGCTCTCCTCCCCTGAGCTCTTGTTGGCGGGTGCATCCTTAGCTGGGTTTGAGCTCAGCGCAGGGCTCTGCTGACCACGGGTGAGTTTTCACGGTGGTGTGTGCACACACAGGCTGTGCTCCCCGGCCTGAGCATCTAACAACGTGGGTTAAGACACGGCAGGACTCAGATGATGTTTAGTACCCACAGGATCGGCTTGAAGAGGTCATGCCAGCACATCCCCGATCACAGAGTCACGAGATGTTTCACAAAACCTAACAAGCCCCCATTTATTGCTGCGTTATTAAATACCTCTGTGAAAATGCACCACTGCAGCATCAATTGTCCCAGGGCCAAAGGTTAACTCAAGTATTTGGTGCTTCATCCGGGGAGGCACGGCCTCAACCTGAACACATCTTTTAATAAAGAAGTGTCCAGCGATGGTGCTGTGGCAGGAACGCTTTGAGAAGCACCCACCCCAGTGGATGAGCAGCCCAAATACTGAGTCACCACAAGGCCAAGGCTGATGTGACAGTCAGCACCCAGCAGGGCAAACCAAAACACCGCAGTCAACACCATCTGCTTCAGTAAGTAGGGCAAGGAACAGAGGTGAGGAAAACAGATGACACTAAGACATAAATTCAAGCAGCCCCTTTATCGAACACAACTTGGGACAGGGCCACTGTGGAAGTGGAAGCTGTAAATCATTCCTGAGAGCCCAACAAGGCAGGAAGGTCTGCTTCCTTAGGGCTGAGCGTGCAGTTTCTGCACTGCTCTAAACCTGGGCGGAGGCGACAGCCTTGGGCTCAGCTCCCTCTTCCAGGATGTCTCCCTGGAGCAGGAGCCTGGGAGCTCTCTGCTGCCTGCACCAGCTGCATCCAATGCAGTTCATTGCCCAAACTGGGGCTTCTGCAGCACCCAGTTGGGTGGCTTCATGCCCAGAGCCGGACGCTGGGACCCCTGTACCCTAAAGCATCCCCATCACCCTGCAGGGGCTGCCTGCACAAGCACACACACAGGGAAACTCACCTGAAAGAAAACGGATTTGTTTAACACAGCTGGACATGTGTGTGCAGGGAAGCTCTTCATTTGGATTGGGAAGTGCACTAAGGCACAGGAAGCTATGGCCACAAGCTCTGTGCTCAGGTGCACGAATTCAAAACTGGTGCCTCAGACTCACCCTGATGCAACCACGCTGCAAGCAAGGGCCAGTGGAGCAGGGAGGCTGCACTCAGCAGCTGCTGCAGGTTGGGAACAGATGGGAACAAGGTAGGAAGGATAAAGCTCCCCCAGGCCAGGAGCTTGGGCCAGCATCGCTGCAGGCTCAAACCACTCCAGCAAGCCCAACAAACACACTGCCTGCTTGGGCAATTGAATTCCCTATCATACAGAGCCTCCCTCCATCCTTAGAAGGTTGTCAAAATATTTGGCTTGTGAGGCAGCCTCAAAGCCTGTCTTTCAATTAACAGCTGAGGCACCGATGGGGCAGCTGCCCAGGTCAGATCACAGCAGCTGATTAGATTAGAAGCATTATTAAAAGCCAGTCACTACTTGAGTCTCCTGGGCTGGCCCCCAGTGGCTTGAACTTGTAAAGGGAATTATTAGAATTACCTTGAAAATGCCTCGTCGAGACCATCATCCATTTCCTTTGTTAAAGAGATAAAAAGAGAGAGAAGTAGTTGCTAAGAGAACGCACAAAAGTGTATTTAGGGATCTGGCTCCACACTTCAGCAGAGCAGACAAAAAAGTATGTATCTATATATGTATAAACTGACTTCTGAGTGCCTAAAGCAGCAGCCCTCTCAGCAATCTGCCTCCTCGGGCAGGTTTTATCTCACTCTCTGTACAAGCTCCAGGGTAAGAGATGTATCTCCAGGTGGTCCAGGCTTCCTCAGAGCAGATCCCAAGGCTCGGGTCAGGGATGCACCACTCCTTTCAGAGCCCAGGGATGGGGCAGGCGCTTGGCCTTTTCCCACCATCTCCAAACCAGGTTAATTCAGATCCCATGGGTTGGATCTGGCCTGTCAGCTGGACCACATCCCGCTCTGGGGTTAACCACAGCCCTCAGCTCTTCCAGCTCTCGGCATGCGACTGGTACGTGCTGCTAGAAGGAGGGACCTGGATGGAGCTCAGCAACAGGCTCCAGGCATCCCTTGGGGCGTATCTGGATCAGGAACCCAGAAAGCCACTCTGCACCAGCACAGGAGGAACCTTCACTGCTTGAAAGCAGCTCTGGGGTTCTTTATCTCTGATCTGCTCTTAAGCATTTGAGTTGCTTGCAGGAGAAAGGCTTCCCATGCAGTGCAAGGGCTTTGCTATGGACAGACTTGACTATTCCCAAAATCATGTAATGCACTCACAGACTTAATGTAATATGTAAAGTATGAAAACTCTGCGATAGGGGAGGGACTGCAGAGCGCTGATAAGCCTCCAGGATTTGATATGACTTAAGTGGATCTTTAGGCTTAACCTGAAAAGCCTCAGGCTCAGCCCTGCCACACTCAAGAAACAGGCTTCAGGCAAAGGCATTTAGCATTCAATTCTCCACAATCCTAGCAACATTCAGCTTGTTTCCAGATTGGGAAACATGTGGCTGGGATGAGGTCCCAGGTCGGTTGGGGGTTCAAAGATCAGCCCCAGCCTGGCTGGTGATGGGCACATGGGCTGGGTTGGTGGTGGTCCATGGAACAATTAAGCCAGATTATTGAAAACACTTTAAAGGCATCATGCTCTTACAAGCCAGATACAGCCACAACCAAGAACAAAGGAAAAACAAGAGCAAAACGACCATAAATCTAACCTGATTCTAATGAAACAAAAGCCATCAGCATCATGACTTTTCCCCTGCACAGAGCAGTCGGGTGGTCTCTCAATGAAGTGCCAAACCACTGAGGACTGCTGCGTGAGGATAAGGACTGCTCACTCACCTGCAGTGGCATTGCTCAGGGTA